TTGTTTAATCTTTTTTTTTCTTTGAAGATCTTTTTCTCAGAAACAGCTTTCATGTGACCAATCTTAACAGGGTACATAACATACTTTGGAAGTTTGGTATTCCATTTAATTGGGATTGGATGCTCAGTAAACTGCCATATAAATTCGTTTTTCTTTCATAGGTTTGGTCGAGTTCTTAGTAAATAAACTGACGTTATTCCAGTCGATTTTTGATTTCATGCGCATTTGAAACATTTGGTTTTGTCTGGAAGCAATAATCTTCTAAGATGTGCTTGAAAGGTGTGGCAAATATATGTTTGATGAAAAAAATAGAATGAAACAGAAGCAAAGTGAACTGAAATTGAAGTGGAAAGTGATTTTTGTTATGTATTCATGCTTAAACATGATTGAGAATATTAGAAGAACATAATATTGTAAGTAAGTAAGTAATTCTTAAAAGAAGGATAGAGAAAAGAAAAGAAGAAGAAAATTAAGTAAACATCCATATTATCTCTTGCTATTCAAGGATCCACCAATGGTTTTGTTAATAGCCACCTTGATCAGTTTGGTAGAGAGATTAAAGTCGCATATGATACATGCGCGCTACTTATTTGTTACCCATTTCCTGTTGGTTTTAAGGATGAAAAAATATATACGTACCTGGGGAATAGTCATCGCAATCGATTCTTGGAATTTTCTGTTAGTTTTAAGCTTTGTAGAACTGTTTGAGCCTCCCGGCCCTCCGTTCTATCTTTACATGCATTCATTTTTGTTACTGCATCAAAAAATAAACCTACAACTTTCGCCTTAACAAACTGCACTGATTTGGGCCTAGCTTCGCTTCAGAATTGAAGTCTCAGCCTGTATAATATTTACCGGACTCTCCAACAAAATATGCGATTGTAGCTTTTTGCACTTGAAACCTTAATTCTGGGAATATGGATATCGAGCATTATTTGACCTTGCAGTTTCTAGGAAATCGTCGAAAGATTACGAAACACTGAGTACATATCGACATTGTAAGTAGTTCCGGATCTATAGAGAAAATATCCAAGGAAGAAAAATATAAACTGCAAAATATTCGCAATTTTAAATTCTGCTTTAAGTTTTACTTTAAGAATTTTCCTGCTTGGAATGAATTTGTCTAACGCCTGAATCCGAAGGTGCTACAAGCTTCTTTAATTCGAAATACTTTCGGCATCTTATCTGGCCTTTTGTTTGTATACGTTGAAGTGCGTCATTGCTTTTCGGAGAAAAAGGAAATCCTAGATGGATCTTTGACCTTCTTTGAGAGCCAGTAGTACAGGAAAAGAAAAGATAAGCATCGACCCATCATCAATGAAACGCACAGAAATTCGTCTTGGCTTATGTACATAACACTCGATCAAATATTGTTCTCCGGGCCTTGTCATTTGTTTGCTAATTCACTTCTTTTTAATCGAGTGTACCTCTAGCATCAAAAGGAAAGAGATCAAGCATTATTTTTGCCTTCATGATGACTAATAAAACCTTTTCCGCACTAGTTACAGGTAAAAAACGGTATTAGGGGAAAGTCCCAACCTGGACCATGCAAAAGGTGCATCAAGTTTGTCAGCAATCGCATGTTGAGCCCCTAAGTTACAGTCCAAACAGTTCTAGAAAGATTTCAATTCCCTGCTACTGACTGGCCTAGCCAATATGGCAGTGAAGCTAATCAGAAGCCTTGAATCCAAATGCCTGTGCGCCTGGGGGGGTATCTTGAGTTAGTGTGGTTAGTGGTTTCCACCCCTTACAATAATTCTTACCCCCCGCCCCGTCCAAATAGCTACCCTGGGTCTCAAAAGATGTTCGTAAAGTCGAACCTCCACTGACAGCCCTTCTCCACGATGGCCACCTCTCTACAACAGCAACGGCCACTAAACTGCGTCCCCAACTGCCAAAATATTAACCTCTCAACAACGGCCAGTTTTTTCCGCGACTGACAAAGAGTCAGAAATGGTTGCCAAATTGATTTTGATCCGTGATGGCTCATTGATGATTATGAGCGATCTTATTTTGATTGTGTTCCATTTATTCCGTTGCAGTAAGCATAAGTTGTCTACAATACTTATAGCGAATGTTGCGAGCCTTACTCGTTTTGTCATGTTAACACTGATTCAAAACATTAATTTGTCTTTCGTGTGTGTGTATTTTATCTCTTTTTATCATTTACGATTGAATTACCATTATTGCTTAAAGTAGGCATGAACATGGCAAAATAAACATGTTGTACTCCCCTAAAATAAATGTGTCATATTACACCCCTACCTTCCCGTAACGGTCACCTCTCTACAAAGGCCACTTTCTTCCGTTCCCAAGGTGGCCGTTGTGAAGAGGTTCGACTGTATTACTTTCTCGTACATACCATAATTTCAGCAGGCTCATTGGGTAAGAGCTCGTCAATTTATCTCAAACAGTGCAGAAAGTTAAATTTTTTTGGCTGCAAAAAGTTGAAATTGAGTGCAGAAACTAAGGTGAAATTAGATTGATTGTCAGGCTCAGGTGAGTTCACTAGTAAGGCCGTCTGTCTTAAGAATAATCGACAACACCTTTGTGTTATTTTTTTGTGGTAAGGATGAAGAATGTACAAACAGACGTAAGCTTAAATCACAAATCATGTAAACATAAAGCAATTCTGATTTCAGCTTCATTCACGCGGCATACCCACACTCCAAGAAACCACATGAAACAAACGCCAAATATCAAAATGCAAAATTATTGAATGACAGACTAAAACATGAAAAATGTCTTGAAACAGAAGCACTTTTCCAATTTCATTTCCGCAAAACGGCTGTTTTGAAAAAAATATCAATTGTAAACTAAAGCTTCACTCTTAAGGATTCTACTGAAAAAAATTTGAGGGCGTTACATGCGCTAGAAGACATTGAACTACTTTTTAAAATTTTCTATAAATTTGTCTGTGAAAATTTCCCGGGAAAAATTGCAGACAATTACATGGAAAATCTAAAGCAAGCGTCTGGAGAAATTTGAGCACGGTAACTGCCCCCAAAATTTGTCAGTGAAATCCTTTGCTGTGTAGGTTTAGTTTACAATTCATATGTTTTTAGAACAGCCGTTTTACCGAAATTATTCGACATTAAATTCTCAAACATACACTGTAAGTTCTCATGCGTTTGCCTACTCGTCAAGATGGCGTCGAAAACCGTGACAAGGTCTATACTAGATGAGCTTACCTCGCGTAAACCCTTCTTTTTACAACCAACACGATAACTAAGTTTCCTTAAGAACTTCTCCTTTTTCATTTACAGTCGTGAAATGTTTTTAAAAAGCTTGTGTTTTCTTAAACAAGAGGCTGTACATCGTCTCAAATTTATCGTACAAGTCACGGGGTAAGAAACTTATGAAAATAATTATGGTCCCTTAAAACGAGAAAAAAAATGCAATAACTCAAACTCACCTGAGATGCAACTCCTGAAAGCTAGTAGGTGAGGTAATTAGAAACGCTTTAGTTTTCTCCGTTACTCTGCTGTAAATTAAAGCCAGCATGAACTACAAAATCAGCCATCGATGAAACCACACTTACGCCGAAGTCCTCAATGAAAACCCAAATAAACAATGCACAGCAATGCAAAGGAATCTTGTTAGCAGTTGTATTTGTTTCCGTGGCGGCAGTAGAAAAACATGAAAATTTAAAAACGTAAAATGACAAAAGGCTTGAGCTCGTGATAAACAACTTTTTAGCTTCTGCGTTTTTTCCATCAATATTTACCTGTCAAAATTTAGACCAGTCTTGGTCGAGGTCATCACTTGTAGGCGGGAACAGGGAGCTGTGACAAACGGTGACACATAAAGAGGAAAAGCAACCAAATTTGTGCATGTATATGATTTCGAGTGCAATTTGGGATAAATCGGCACTCTTCAATCGCTGATTTATCCCAAATTGCACTCGAAATCATGTGATTACCTATACAAATTGCTGCCAGACGTACGCAAAGCTATACTATGGCTGGGTTGCGCGCTATGTCACCAGAACTCAAATACTGAGTTATCAGTTGTTTTGAAATTTTACTTTTATGAGGTATGAGAGCAGCTTGACACTTATATTGTTATAAATTTTTAGCCCAAAATGGTTCATCGTTTTGTAATAGATACCGCTGAATTTCTAAGGCATATGCCTGTGAAAGGGCGGCCGAGAAAGTTGTCTCGAAGGTTAAAAGTCACTTAGGCTCCCTTTACGAGGAGGAAAGTTGTCACGGGTAGAAGGGTCACTCGGCTAAAGGAATTAAATTAACTGCAAAAACCGTGGACGAAGATCCTGCTAGTTATATACGTTGGATGGGCTAGCCCTTTAACCCCTTTGCCCGAGCCAACAACGCTTGCCCTTTCCCTTATTGTCTAAAACAGCGCTGACGCATGCTTTGTTTCAGTCTTGCCTTGACCGAGCGACACAAGGTGTTTATTGGGAGAAAAGTTGGCTCGCCCGAGATGCTGACCCAAAAATCGTGACCCGGTTAGGTGGGTCATTCTTCTAGCCGAACCAACTTTTTGTTTTCCAAGTAGACGGTTGGAACCTTTTTTAAGGAAATACCTATACTGTATGGAAAGCTGGCCCAACAGGGTAGCTCGGGTAGGCGAGTTCTGACCTTCTACTCGGAAAAACTTTTCTCCCTGTCAATGGGGCCTTCGCTTTTTGTGATCTTTTTTTATGGGTTTTTTGAGTAAGCATGATTGACTCACTCTTTTGAAAAAAAAAAAAGAAAAAAGACTCGATGACGGATTTTTCTGTTGGTTTCCAGCCGCCGTATCGGTGAGAGGTACCCCAACATGTAAACAACATGTCGTCTCCATGAGTAAGACATTTGTCTGAGAATCTAGCATATAAGAAATCACGCAGACCTCGCAAGGCTGTTTGCATATTAAAATTCTTTCATTTCGTAGATTGTGAACTTTATCTGATAAATGTTTTTGATATTAAGACTTACTAAACAACAATAAAAACGGTGAAAATCAGAAAATCCTCGATTTCTTTATTTGTATTGATTTCACATTCATAATACGGCCTTTTTCACAGAATGAAAAAGAAGTTTGCCTTATAATCGTTGGATTTCATTGCGGCTTTGGTTTGACGTTCATTTGAAATTGATTCACAACGTTCCCAGCGGGTTTGTATCTTGCCACCACGTACACGTTTGGTACGTCTCGTGCCTTCGCTTTTGCCATTGCAAACTGATTAGTTGCGCCCCATACAAGCTGCAAATGAAAACAATCAGAACACAGCAGCTTAGTTTAGGAACTGTAAAGATGAATTTCCTCGATACTAAATGTTATTTTGACTATGTCTGGCCACATAAGTTATTAAGGCTTCAAAATTGTGGCTATTATTGCGGCAAAGAAGGTTATAGTTTACAGTCTATATAGTATATCCGGGCCACCGCATTGAACAGAAGTCCGAAGTCTCAGTAAAGCAATGCTATTCAGGGTTGGTGCCATACGTTTTTTTCTCTATTCTGTTTTGGACGTCCCTTTAGTGTTTGAAAAATATAACCACGTTTCCTGTCGTTTCAAAAAGGACGAAACTTAGCTAAAGTCATATATAGCGATCAATGAACGTAGCTTCCTTAAAACTGTAACTCAGTTCTTATATCGAACGGACCTCACAGACAACCTTACCTGAGAAAAGTGGCCAGTATCTGTAGTGAACGTCGGGTCATTAAAATTGTAATTGGTGAATTCCTTATACCAAGCATCAATAGCTCTCAGTAACGCCTTGTCGTCTCCTCCTACCTCTGCCAAATTTTCCCCATAATCAGCTGAACTTTCATTTTCATGGACAAGCCTCTGCTCACGTGCTAACTTATCTGCCCAGTCCTGGGCCTTAGCCGCCATTTCTTTGCTCCAGATGACTGGAGGAGCCTGGTGCATAGCTCTGTACAGGTTTGTTAACATTAATGCATCCTTAATTTCCTCTTCGCTGGGACCTACGAAATAGATAATACGTGATTTCTTAATAATAAATTCATTTTTTCAACATAGGGTGATTAAATAAGGTGCGAACGGGTGACAGAAAAACCCTCCCCACCCAAATTCCCCTGAACCCAAATTCATCCCTCCTCATCCACAAAAGTATAAAATGAAATAAAAGAAATTAAAAATATATCAACAATACCCGGGGTACTGCCATATATGGGCTATATAGATATGTGCCGCTGTGAAGGGTTTGGTTTTCAATCAGTTTACCCTAGGATAGGGTATATAAATCAGAGCGTTTGGGTCTAGAATAGGGTATCATTTTTCAGGAAACTGATCACTTGGTTGAAGATTTTGTCTGACTAGGGATTGTGGTATAAGGTTTTGTTTTGGCTAGACTGTGCTGGTGACCTCATTAGTTTCAGGAAAGAGCTACTCTAGTATAGGGTAGCAAAATTCAGCTGAACTAGCTCTGGTATAGGTTAAGGGTTCCAACAGGGTCCCAGCGGCACGTCCCCACCCAGAAATTCCTAAAGTACCTCCCCGGGCAACAACAACGGCAAAATGCAAAATAAGTCACAAAAAATGAGTACCATGAGTAAAAGAGGTGAAATGTTTACTGCCATTGACGGGATCGGCGAGCGAGTCAGAGAATGTTAACAACCGTCTTTTAAGACAACAAATGTACTATACATCCTTAACATAACGTGTCAAATGTTATGTTTGTTATATGTTTATGTTTTATAACCGTCAGTCTGAAATCTTTTGTTAAACAAAAAAGCAATCGGAATTTTCATACCCAAAAAATCCCTCCAACCTCCACGTCGCCACAAATCTAGAATACTCTTCCTGGGTAACTAGCCCTCGTTCGGATTGTTCACGTTCTGAGAATTGCAACTCCGCAAATGCAAGTAGTATGTGATGTTTTACCACAATTGTCTTTATATTTTTCGTTACATACTGTCTTCTTAAGGCTTAAGATTCTATACATGAAGTTTATAAACCAGCGACGCTTGACAGAGCCAGGGACTTTAACGTATGAAAAGAAACAGATTTCCCAGAGTTTACTTCATGACGAATCATGACGAATGAAATTGATAGAATCTCTGGTAAGAGAATAGTCAACAAAGAATACCGTAAGACCGAACAAACATACCTCGTTCTTGGCAGAGTTGTCCAGAATACCCTTGTGGACATATGCAGGTAAAGTTCAATCCTCCAAGAACTTCGCAAGTGGCACCATTCTTACATGGGTTGGGCTCACATGGCTTCGGGGGAACTATCAGCAAAAATGACAGGAGATTGCTATTTAATTGTGGGACTTTCTTGCCATAGCGGCAATATCGACTTGCAGAAACGCCAGAAACTGTTTACAACTATGAACACGGTTTATGCATTGTTTATATTCAGTTTGAGAGTTAGTATTTTTAGAATGCGTTTGCAACTCGAGCTACTGTCTTATTTTATAGTCTATTAATGAACATTTTACCAGGATGGGTTTGTTTCAGGCTTGCTTAAGTACTCAGCGAAGTGTGTGAGCAAATCTGTCGCAGTTGCTAAAATTATCCTTCATACATGTATAAACGTGAAACGGAACACTTTCCGGCTTAGATTCTTAAATTCCTTGGTTAAAAATACCCGTCATGAACTGGTACTATCTGTAAAAACAAGTACTATTGCTGCTTTAAATTCTTTGACAATTGCTTCATTGAACCACCCTAGGGCAAATTATCAAAATTGCTTTTTGACCAAAACAAGAGCTATGGAAAGGGCGCGTTCAAAAGCATTTATCGCATTGGCGCGCAAATGCAGGAAAAAAAAAGGTTGGCGGACATTTTTAAAAGTTAATAGAATAGCCATACAGCAAAAAAGCTTGTCCAACAAGTCTGAAAGGGTGAAAAGTCCGGCCTGTCTTTCCAAAACTTGTGTTGTACCTTAGGCTCTGTTCTTTCACTTCGGATGTAGGCAATTGGCCAAAGCACTGTTTTTACAAGACTGACTCAATAGTTGCATCGTGGCAGTATGATGGTTTTGAACGCACCTTTTCCGCTTCCAGTATTTATGGAATGTACCTGTTGTTAGAGTGACACTGGTTGTTGGTTTTGTCGTTACGGTGGTTATTGTTGATGTTGTCGTCACTGTCGTAGACACTGTCTCTTCAGTCGTTTCCTGTTCTGATGTTGCACTTGTTGTCGCAGTTGTCTTTTGCGTTGTTGTCGTAGTGATTTCGATTTCTGTGGCTGTTGTAGTCTGAGGTTTGAGTGTTGGTTTAGTTGTTACTGGATTTACCGTTGGCTTACTAGTGGAAGCTGTGGAGACTACAGTAGGCTTTGTCGTTCCAGGGGTTAAAGTAGTTGTAAAAGTTGCTGGTTTAGGTGTGGACGAAGTCGTTGATGACGTTAATTCTGGGTAATTGGGAGCCACTGTTGTTGGCCTAGTAGGCTCTGGTTTAATCGGGGTACTCAGTTCTTCTGGAGGTTTAGTTGTAGAAGTCGACGGTGTTGAACTGACTGCAGCCTGTATGGTTGTGGGTGACTCTGGAGTAGTAGTTGTTGTAGTTTTCTCTGGACTCACAGTTGTCATAGGTGCCTGTGTTTGTGGACCCAGTGAAGTTGGCTTCGTTATCCCTGTAGTCGTGGGTGTTGTTGACGTCTTTTCCTCAGTAGGTGTGGTTTGATGTTCTGTTGTGGTGCTTGTTGTTATCTCTGGGTTTAGAGTGGTTATTGTAACTGTAGTCGTCAATTCAGGCCCAGGTGTAGTTAAAGTTCCTTCTGTCGTTAATTCTGGGCCTGTGGGCTTCGATGTGGCTGGTGTTTTCCCAGGTGTGGTCGAGGCTTGTGACGTCGTTGAAAGTGACGTTGTTGTGAGTTCTGGATTCAGTGTAGTAATCGTGCTTGAAGTGGTTGTCGATTCGGGCGTCAGGGTTGTGGATGTGGTGGTTGGTGTCGTTTGCCCTGTAGATACTGTTAATTCGGGTTTTAATGTGGTTTCTATAGCCGTAGTAGTTAGTTCAGGACCAGGGGTACTTAAAGTACTTGCTGTTGTTAACTCTGGGCTTGTGGGTTTCGATGTGACCAGTGTAGTTTCTGAGGTTTGCGCAGACGACGTTGGAGGCGTTGCTGTTGTAAGTGCTGGATTCAATGTAGTTATCGTACTTGGAGAGGTCACTCCCTGATTTATTGTCGAGGAAGTGGTTGTCACTCCAGGCGCCAGTGTTGTTGCAGTTGTAGTGGTTGGTGTCGTTTTCCCTGTAGTTGGTGTTAATTCGGGATTTAGTGTAGTTTTTGTAGCTATAGTCGTTAGACCAGGACCAGCCGTAGTTAAAGTGCTAGCAGTCGTTAATTCTGGGCCTGTGGGTTTCGTTGTGGCCGGTGTTGTTTGCTCTTCTGGTTGTACAGTCGTTGGCGATGTTGAAGATGTACCTCTGGAGATAACTGTTGTTGATTTAGTAAATTCGGGCTTTGAAGCCGTTGTGGTTCCTTGACTAATAGTAGTAGACGACGTTAGTCCGGGTTGAAGTGTTGTTAGAGGTTTTAATGTAGTCGACGTTTCTGAATTTACGGTTGGAGTCGTAGCGGTAACAGTCGTTACAGTTGTTGTTGCTGTTGTGCTCGATTCGCCTGGGTTAACTGTTGGTTTTTGTCCTGGTGCTGTCGAGGAAAGTGACGTTTTAGTGGACAGAAGTGTAAACTACCAATTTGTAACAAAATTGAAGATAACAGTCACAGGATTACAGTTTAAACCTTTTTGTCAGTGAGCTTCTTAACTTTTACATTGCAAGTTACATTATTTCAAAATGCGTTTTTTTCACCCTCTGTTTTCAAAATAAGTCTAGCATTTTTAACTGGCTATTTCAATTGAAATGTGAATCCACTGTTCAGTATCTTGCCAATTGCTTTTATGCGATCCCATGATAAATGGCATACGTAACCAGCAACCGCATGAGCATCTACCAAACTCAGCGAGGTTAACAGACAATTTTATTATGTATGCATCGTTTATAGTTTTCGATGTTGTATTTCTGTTATCAAGCTAAAGACAATACAATTTTTGTTTCTATGATTCTTTTCTACGCCCTGGGCAGAGAACGTTAGTTAGGAATTAGACCAATTTATGAAATATAATTTTCAGAACGTGAACAAGATGTTAATTCTACTAGCTCACCTGAAGAAATATCTCGGCCATTGCTATCCATTCATGTTCATATGTGTTGGCGATGGTCTTAATCTATTCCTGTTATTTATGTATTTCATTTTCAATTCGTATTGGTTAGTATTGTTGCAATATTCAACTTAAATCTGACGTGCACGTTTTTATTAGTGGTTAATACGTAAAGCAAGCTTCTCTTTTGTGAACAATAATTACCAACTGTTATGATTATTATTATCATCATCAATGATTTATAGAACAGGGCTTAAAATTAAACATGAGTTTCTTTCATCTTCTCCCAGTCACCGTTTTACAGCCTTACAAACCAAACCCATCCATGCAAAATGCCAAAGTGTGAATTTGAAATAGATAAGAAAGAATCCAGGGTAAGAAAGCGAATCTTCCATAATAGGCCTATATCTCATCGATAATCCCTTTTTGATTGTGTTTAGTACAAAAATATATGAGGAATTTCAAATGTTTCCCTTGCTTGAGTATTAAAAGCCTTCAATAGAGGTCGAAAAAGTACTTCGGCCAGATGGGAAAACCCTTCCAAGTAATTTTTACATAGGGCCTTATGCTCCTGATAAGAATGTTTAATCGAATTTGGGTTCATCCTTTCTTCCGCCCTCTTCCCCATGCAACTGTGCCAAAAAAGACATATTCTCACCCACCTTGATCGTGCCCGAGAATCAGGGTTCCAGTTTTAATTGTGTCACGTTAAAGGTCCTAACACTTCTGAGCCTCAGTAGTTTTTTTTTTTAATCTTTTAATACCGTCATTACATTCTCCATAAATAATTAAACAAACATTTGGCGCCAAAAAAGAGGACGGCATTCTTAGGCGAAAACGCACTAGAAATCTTGGGGCTTTAAATTTTAGAAAATGACGAGTTGTAATTCTTAAGTATTTTAACTGAGCTTCTATCTATTTAGTTTCTTAAAATAGCTCGAAAGGGGCCACCTACGAAAAAGAATTGTATGGGGTATTTACTCTTTTATGTTCCATCCTCTCCAGAGAAAGTCATAAAGCGGAAAAAAACTCTCTACTCAGTTAGCTCTTTTAGTGCCCTCTATTGACATTATCGTTTTTATTCTATTTACTCATTTATTGAGCACAGCTTATTAAAGTTTTTTCGATCATTAATTTATTTTTTATATTAAACTTAAATTTTAAGAATCTTAAATTGTTAATGCACCTTGGTTACCCACCCCCTAAATTTTGCATAACCATTGTTTCCAATTTCTCCTGGGTATTACAGACCTCTCAAGAGAAATCGATGGTTATGCAAAATATAGGCCGGGGTTAACAAGGTGCATTATTGTGTACGTGAAAATGGTGAACTACGCAAAGGACGTATGTGCATCATTATTACAGTGTGGTGAAACGCAGTTCACCATAAGTATATGTCGAGTTTGAAAATAGATGACCTTTAAAACTTCTCCAAAACATCGAATGGAAAGTTTAAAATCATTCAACTGAGCCTTCGTTTAGAAATCAAAAGCTGTATTAAAAAGTTTATTATCACATGCTATGATTACACTAGCTTTTACAGTAGCATGTTTTGTTTAAATAAGGGAAGTGTTCGGGGGTTTTCAAAAATGCAAGTAGCAGCATGCAGGTTTTAGAGCTTTTTTTTAGCATGCTGTTACCTGACTGAATTGGAAGCGATCCTGTTACGGATGAATCAGATGATGATCCTAGAAAGTACATCTGATTGTCAAGGTAGACATAATAATGCATCACAGCAAAATTAAAGATGAGCACCTAACACGTTTCCCTATTAAATTAAGTACATGTCTGTTACACCCAGTGTGCCTTAATTTCTTGTCTGACCTAATCGCCCATATCTTTTTACATCTATGTGCGACTTTTAAAGATCAAATATGTTGCCTTAGTGCTAAAAAGGGATAATAGTTTTCTCTCGCGTAAAACAATTTTTATGCTTTACTTACAGTGGTTAAATGCGGACCATTTTCCCTAGAGAATTTTTCTGAGGTAATTAGTATTTCGAAAACCTTACCGTCTTTATCAGTCAACTAACAAAATTATTGCAGTCCCTGTCTCCTCATTTTCAGAGCCAACACAAAATATCGTTTGGAAGTGAGATGTGATACAAGTCAACCATCTTATAATTTCGTTCGTTTGTTCGTTCATTCGTTCTTTCGTTCGTTTGATCGCTCCTTCGTTCGTTGGTTCTTTCGTTCGTGCGTCCGTTCGTTCATTCATTCGTTCATTCATTCATTCATTCATTCACTTATTCGTTCGTTCGTTCGTTCATTCATTCGTTCATTCATTCATTCATTCATTCATTCACTTATTCGTTTGTTCGTTCATTCGTTCTTTCGTTCGTTTGATCGCTCGTTCGTTCGTTGGTTCTTTCGTTCGTTCGTGCGTTCGTTCATTCATTCATTCATTCGTTCATTCATTCATTCATTCATTCATTCATTCATTCATTCATTCATTCACTTATTCGTTCGTTCGTGCGTTCGTTCATTCATTCATTCATTCATTCGTTCATTCATTCATTCATTCACTCACTTATTCGTTCGTTCGTTCGTTCATTTATTTATTTATTCATTGTTTTCTTTACAGCCATATTGTGCATATATCAACTGATAAATTGCAAATTTCAAACATTTCTTCCAAAACGTAATCATTCTCCACGTGAGTATCAGTTGAAAACACGTCGAGAAATCGTTTATTATGACAGAAATAACTGAAAATAAAGAAAATAACTGAAGTCATGTTCAAGTTGCAGCCCGTTTTTCCTTGCTCGTATAACATAACCGACTACAAGCAAGCGCAAATGAGACTTTCCAAATTTAGTTTTGGCAAAATATAAATCACCGCGCTCGTGAACTAGAAAACGAAACTCACAACATTTCGAGCTTACAAGCATGAAATCTCTGAGGTTAATAAGGCAATGCGCAGTAGTGGTGACCAAAGAAAGAAAAAGGAGTTACCACTAAGTTATGGCGGATTATCTTTAAGTCTAAAGGGCGGGCATTTAGGCCTAGTAGATAAATGTTGTATCTAATTTTTATCTTAGGTTATTTTTGTTTTTCTTTTGTTTTTGGTTTTGGAATTGTATGCTAACGAAGGTGGAGCAAAAGAAAAATAAAAATTACCTGAGATAAAAAATTAACTTCGACATACATTGTATATAACTGTACAGTCGAACCTAAATAGGTGATCACCTGTCGTAAGCGACCACCTATCCAAAACAATAAACATTTTCCTAGTCAAAGCCTGATAGTTAGAACCTCCAGAAAAACGACCACCTCTTTTGAGCAACTTCGACCAATGTTAGGATGACTGTTGAGGAATTGTCCATTGTTTTAACCGCTTCTAATCGACTACCTGATAAAATGTCTGATCTGTGTGTTCGCTGTATGTACTAGGCTACTCAGAGTATGTGAAGATTTTTTAGAGAAGCATGGATTTATCTATATTTTAAACTAGAAATTGCATAGATGTGTTCGCAATTCTCCTCGTAAAAGACTGTCTGTAGTTCGACTCCCTTAAGCGAGCACCAACTCATCGCACAGTGCACGTGGTCGCCTACGGGAGGTTCGACTGTATTTACGCAATGAAGGTTCTCACCTTGTGGGACAAATGTGACATTGGGTTTTCCTTTGCATTCTAAAAAAAGGAAGAAGAGATATATTATTTAAAATGAGATATGCCTCTTTAAGTCAGTTAGACAACGTTAACCTATACGAAAAACGCCAATCCACAAAAAAGGCCAAAATGTTAAACAACATATTTCTTGAAACTTAATTGACCGGGCATATTTTAAATTGAGGTTGTTTGTCTCACCTTTTATTACGATTTTTCTAATGTCACTGTCACGTGAGAGGGTACAAGAGGGCACTAATTTAAGAACCCACGACCGCGACGGCTACGAAACGTTACTGAAAAATTTATTGGCCTATTCCATTTCGTTTTGGTAAACTTTTCCGAGGTTGAATCTAAAAGACTGCATCTAAGTTCAGGAAAAGAAAATTCAAGTCGTTGTTCAAGTCCTCCACAAAACGGGATGCACATGCAAAGCTGTTGTTTTGCTTATCTAAAGTCCTGTGTTTTGCGGTTCTTGCTAAAGGTCCCTAATAAATAATACGCGCCGGAACAAAGAATCTCTTGAGAACTTACTCATTATCAAAACCGCCGTAAGTTTTTGTATTTTCGTTCAAGCTTAGTCTTGTATCACATTTTTCTTGTTTTCTTCTGCAGTATCGCAATTCCTGATATTAGAACTTGGGTCCTGATTGAAAGAATAACGTTGACATTTTGTGCTCGGCGTCATTTTCCGTCTCCCTTTCAATGTTTGCCTCGAAAATGGACAATTCCACCAAAAACCATTACAAAACAACATTAGAAGAGAGAAAGGTAGGTACCAGAGCAGCGTGACCCAAGTTGAGTATCCTTGATTCCATTATTTTTATGCGTGTGATTCACTTTCAATTATTTCTTACACCAACTGACCTCTTGGTTCCTCCAACCCAACAGTACAGTACACAAATTTTATTCCTATCCAACTAACTATATAGTTGAAAAGTTACGACAAGGAAAACCAATAACCTTGTTGTTGTTGACGGCAGTCGAACACCTATTAATCGATCCCTCTTACTTATGAGATACTTAATAAAGTGTGATAATACTTACTTTGAACTATGGCATAGGTGTAAGTCGTACTGTTAACCACGAAATATTGACATTTGTCACTTTCATTTTTACCAGAACCTGTAGGATATTGTACAGTAGTCATTAGACAACCATTATTTTTTTATATTCCAAAAGTCAACTTTGCTCCTTACCTTACTTTAACTCTTAAAGGAAGAAATAAACTTGAAATATTAATGAATACGATTGATGTCAGTAGTGTCGATATCGACAGAAAAAGGGACGCACAGAGAAGAGGCGCGGTCGCTCAGCTGTTTAGGACGTGAAGAACTGGAAAAAATGGCGGGGCATTTAACTGGTAGTGCGAAAACAAAAAAGTCGAACTTCTTCCTCAAAAAGATAGCAAGCAGAGATACGTCAACGAAGATTACATATTCTGATAATTTCGAGGATAGGCAATAATTTGAAAGACGGGAACTTTACACAAAGTCAAACATATTTTAAGATTGGAAATAGTTATTTTATATTGGGTTATCAACAAATTTTAATCGTTACCTGGTGCCTTAGTTGGTTTTGTTGTGGAAACCCCTGGTGGAAGTGTTCCTGAATTAAGAGAAAGCTGTTACTGTCATAACGATTATTTACTAACCTTACATTTCTAAATTCTTCTTTATTAAAAGTGAGTTTAAAAATATTTGTATATGTATCACCTGTGTCTTAATAAACTTTTCTTAATGCTTCACTTTTTTTGAGAAGTTTGTATGTTTCAAACGTTTAAGCTATAAATTGTAAGTGATCCAAAAGCATTTCAATAAAAAGGCTTTCTCCCGCCTACTATGAAAGGACAAAAACAAGTTACAGTCACAGGTGGAGTAGAATGGTAATCATATTAGTGCCTAAGTTCTCACAAAGTTTTTCAGTTAATTTTCCATAAATATTATACCGTAAAATTCCGAAAATAGGCCCTGAGGGCTTATATTTTTCAAAGGGCCATTTTTGAGGGGCTTATTTTTGGAGGCGCTTTTATTCGGAGGGGCTTATCAATGGAGAGAAATTTGCGTTACAAAATCGATTGGGCTAGCCTTATAGTTGAAAGTAAATTTACCGGTTTTGCCGTGTTTTACTTTGTATTTGAGGGCAATTTTCCAAGTACAAGCCCCTGGGGGGCCTATATTTGGAGGGGCGAATTAACGGAGGATTTTTTGCGTTACCGGTTTGGGGGGCTTATTTTTGGAGGAGCTTATACACGGAGGGGCTTATTTTCAGAATTTTACGGTAACTGGTAAGAGATTCGGCGAAAAAATATAACAGAAGACAGCCAGCGGCCATAAAGATCACAATGAAACCATGCTTAAATCTCAGCGATCGTTTGTTACAACGATCTTTGAAGTGTTGTTCTCATATGATAGTACCATCATGTGGGAACTTGCTTTTTGTCTTTTCTGCAGCTAGGCTTAAGGCTTGCGTAATTCAGGTCATAAGCCATAAAACATTCAGGTAATAAGACAAGTCAGCAGCATGCAATATCTTAAACATTTTGATACTTTTCATGCCGTTAACTGATGACGTAGGGGGTCTTGATGGAGGAACTAAAGGTTTTGTCCTTAAGTTTTAATTTTCTTTTTTATTAAACTCTCTTCTGTAGTATATAACTACACAAGGCAATACGAAACAACGAAACAAAGAACAAAGACATTCTAGTCATCTCGGAAAAGGACGAAAGTCCGTAGGCCTTGTCTCACAATTCTTTGAATTCACTATTCTGATTCTTGTGGGACGTAAAAGAACTCACACTGTTGTCCGTAAAGAGTAGGGGACGTAGACCCCGATTGTGTGGTAAAACTTTTCATGGGCTGGGTGGGTAATGAAGGGGTTGATTTCAATTGGGAAGCAAGTCCTGTTCCATTCTTTGTCACCGTGTTGAGTTGACCACCGTGGCGAACCCAATAAAGTTTTTTTTTTTTTAACCAAAAGGAAAGGTGCCGTGCAGGGCACCTAACTAAATCAGTAAAAATCTTAAGAAATGCTTATAAAACTATTGTTACCAGTGGCACCCACAGTTACGTGCAAGACCCTATGAACATGGTTTATCGGGGTCAAAGACATTTGCTAATTCATCTTTGTACAAGTTAGTTATACTATTCTTAAAAGTCTTTATGTTGGCTATACAGTAGTGCATTCTGACATGGAACCCGATTAATATGGCCTAAAGAATCAATTTAATTCTGAGGGGTGTAAATGAGATCTTTTTACATATCTTTTTACATATCTCTTGAGGCCCGGTCTAAACTTTTATGATGTGTAGGATTCTTGCAACTGCGATGTGAAATTTTAGCTTTTAATAGCCCCATAGTGTATAAATCAAATTTTGTCGTACTGCAATATTGTAACATTCTGGGATCAAATAAACGCGTATATTTTGCTGATTGAAATACTCCCCTATAGTATTCACAAGCATTAGCATACATTTTCTTATGTTATGGCTATTTTCCCTAACTTAAAAATTGTAACTTTCAGTGTCACACGCGTACAGTTAATAAGAATACGATCACTCCTCTGGTTGAGTTCTGGTTTACTTAAGTTAAATTCATAAGAAATGTATTAGCACTTTAACATTTACAGTGATTTCAGCTATCAGCATGCAGTATTTCTGTTTTACTTTCGGCATGCAAGTTACCTGATCCACTAGATGGTTTGACTGTAGATGACTGACTTGGTGGTTTAGTTGTCGTGGATAGTCCCCCTGTTTTCCCTGAATTCATAAATAATGTTTTTACGATCATCACATTGATTTTAGGTATCAACATGCGGTATCTATGTTTTGCTTTCTGCATGCAAGTTACCTGACACACTAGTTGGTTTGATTGTAGCTAATGCAGTTTGTGATTTAGTTGTGGTAGATGGTCCCCCTGTTTTCCCGGTCAAACCAACTAGTGTTGTTCCGAACACCACGTTGATTTCAGGTATCGGCATGCAGTATTTCTGTTTTACTTTCAGCATGCAAGTTACCTGATACACTGGTTGGTTTGACTGTAGATGACTGACTTGGTGCTTTAGTTGTCAGTCGTAGATGGTCCCCCTGTTTTCCCGGTCAAACCAACTAGTGTTGTTCTGAACACCACGTTGATTTCAGGTATCGGCATGCAAGTTACCTGATACACTGGTTGGTTTGAATGTAGATGACTGACTCGGTGGTGTAGTCGTCGTAGATGGTCCCCCTGTTCTCCCTAATTTCATAAATAATGTTTTTACGATCATCGCAGTGATTTTAGGTATCAACATGCAGTATCTATGTTTTGCTTTCTACATGCAAGTTACCTGATGCACTAGTTGGTTTGAGTGTAGCTAATGCAGTTGATGGTTTAGTTGTCAAGATGGTCCCCCTATTTTCCCTAAATTCATGAATAATGTTTTCACGATCATCACACTGATTTCAGGTATTAGCATGCTGTATTCATATTGTGTTTTCTGCATGCAAGTTACCTGATACACTAGTTGGTTTGACAGTAGATGATCCACTTGGTGGTTTAGTTGTCATAGATGGTCCTCCTGTTTTCCCTAAATTAATTAATAAGGTGGGTTAATTGGATCATCTGTGAGAGTGATTTCAGGTATCAGCATGCAGTTTTTTTTGTTTTGCTTTCAGCATGCAAGTTACCTGATACACTGGTTGGTTTGACTGTAGATGATTGACTTGGTGTTTAAGTTGTCGTAGATGGTCCCCCTGTTTTCCCGGTCAAACCAACTAGTGTTGTTCCGAACAACACGTTGATTTCAGGTATCGGCATGGAGTATTTATGTTTTGCTTTAAGCATGCTAGTTGCCTGATCCACTAGTTTTTTTGACTGTAGATGATTGACTTGGTGTTTAAGTTGTCGTAGATGGTCCCCCTGTTTTCCCGGTCAAACCAACTAGTGTTTTTCCGAACACCACATTGATTTCAGGTATAGGCATGCAGTATCTGTGTTTTGCTTTAAGCATGCAAGTTGCCTGATCCACTAGTTTGTTTGACTGTAGATGATTGACTTGGTGTTTAAGTTGTCGTAGATGGTCCCCGCTGTTTTGCCTAAATTAGTGATCAGAATAATGTTGTTTTGATCATCACAGTGATTTCAGGTATCAGCATGCAGTATCTAACCTTTGCTTTCAGTATGCAAGTTACCTGATCCACTAGTTGGTTTGACTGTAGATGATTGACTTGGTGGTTTAGTTGTCGTAGATTGTCCCCTGTTTTCCCTGAATTCATGAATAATGTTTTTACAATCATCACCAGTGAATTCAGGTATTGGCATGCAGTGTTTATATTGTGCTTTCTACATGCAAGTTACTTGATACGCTAGTTGGTTTAACTGTAGATGATCAACTTGGTGGTTTAGTAGTCATAGATAGTCCCCTTGTTTTCCCTAAATTCATGAATAACGGCGTTTCGATTATCCGTGCGAGTGATTTCAGGTATCAGCATGCAGTTTTTTTTGTTTTGCTTTCAGCATGCAAGTTACCTGATACACTGGTTGGTTTGACTGTAGATGATTGACTTGGTGTTTAAGTTGTCGTAGATGGTCCCCCTGTTTTCCCGGTCAAACCAACTAGTGTTGTTCCGAACAACACGTTGATTTCAGGTATCGGCATGGAGTATTTATGTTTTGCTTTAAGCATGCTAGTTGCCTGATCCACTAGTTTTTTTGACTGTAGATAACTGACTTGGTGGTTAAGTTGTCGTAGATGGTCCCCCTGTTTTCCCGGTCAAACCAACTAGCGTTGTTCCGAACACCACGTTGATTTCAGGTATCGGCATGCAGTATTTATGTTTTGTTTTTGGCATGCAAGTTGCCTGATCCACTAGTTTGTTTGACTGTTGATGATTGACTTGGTGGTTTAGCTGTCGTAGATGGTCCCCGCTGTTTTGCCTAAATTAGTGATCAGAATAATGTTGTTTCGATCATCACAGTGATTTCAGGTATTATCATGCAGTATCTAACTTTTGCTTTCAGCATGCAAGTTACCTGATCCACTAGTTGGTTTGACTGTAGATGATTGACTTGGTGGTTTAGTTGTCGTAGATTGTCCCCCTGTTTTCCCTGAATTCATGAATAATGTTTTTACAATCATCACCAGTGAATTCAGGTATTGGCATGCAGTGTTTATATTGTGCTTTCTACATGCAAGTTACTTGATACACTAGTTGGTTTAACTGTAGATATCGACTTGGTGGTTTAGTTGTCGTAGATAGTCCCCTTGTTTTCCCTAAATTCATGAATAACGGCGTTTCGATTATCCGTGCGAGTGATTTCAGGTATCATCATGCAGTATCTGTGTTTGGCTTTCAGCATGCAAGTTACCTGACACACTGGTTGGTTGGACTGTAGACGATTGACTTGGTGGTTTAGTTGTCGTTGATTGTCGCCCTGTTTTCCCTACATTAATGAAAAATGTTGTTTCGATCATTACAGAGATCTCAGGTATCGGCGTGCAGTATTTATGCTTTTCTTTTAGCAAGCAAGTTACCTGATACACTAGTTGGTTTGACTGTGGATGATTGACCAGGTGCTTTACTTGTTGGAGATGGTCCCCCTGTTTTCCCTAAGTTAATATAGTAAAACTGAAATGTTCATTTACGGGAAAAGGTGGGCAAAAGAAAGAGCTATGACAATAACGGGATTTCTTTGAATCAACAGATTTTGGTACAAGATTGAGGTACAATGGTTTGCATTTAAATTACTAGGATGCTATAAAGTCCAAACCATAATTACGATGTGGGGAGTTTCTTAAAAAAAAAAAAAAAAAACGGGTTTGTTTTTTATGGGCGAATGCGAGGGAGGTCTTTTTGTCAGAAAGTCAGAAAGTAAAAAAGTTTTAAATAACCTCAAGTTGAAAAATTAATTTGATTAAGACCTTACAAGCTTAAACGCATAAATAAGATAAAACTGAGTTATTGGCTCACGTCCCGATATTCAACTTAGGTTGTGCGAAACGATGACAGATTTTACATACTGAAAGCAGCCTTCGTCTTTATTATGTTACCTTGTGCCGTGGTAGCCTGAGAAAATCCCACATTTAGCGACGCCACCACTGGTTTCTCCGCGAAATAACGTTTGAGAGTCAAGTGCAGAAATTCAATATTGATAACTCGTCACTACCCAGATCTGGGTAGGGCTTCTGATTGGTCGTGCTGCGTCATTTCGCGGGAAAACCAGTGGTGGCGTCGCGAAATGTTTGCTGTTTTCTCAAGCTAGTGCAGTGGCTGGTTTCTTCGAAGAGGGTGCGGGTGTTTTCCGTAGAAAGAACATCGTAAGGAAATCTTGTAGATTTTACGTAATAACTTAATTGAACTATCAGATAGTTTTTCAAACCGCTGCCTATTTTAATATAATAAGCCCTTGCGCAGCTGATTGGAGAACTCAAAAATATGAGTGTTTTGAAGTTTTTGAACATCCTAATCAAAATATGATGCGTGTTAGATTTTCGATAATTGTTTTTGGGCGGAGAAATTGGAAGCGAAAAATGTCATTGCCTTGTAATATACATGACATCAGACCCAAGATACTTTACTGATGAGTTTACTTTGAAAAGCAGAATAGAATTCAGTTTAAGCCTTTTCAGCAAGTTACCTGGCGTGCTGGTTGGCGTCTTAGATCTAGTAGGTGGGGCTGTTGTCCGTACAAAGTACCATCTTGCTCAATTAATGAGATATGCATCAACGATCATTGTTGATTGAAAGCTGACATGTAACTTGAACGTAAGTCGGGAATAGGTCTCTGCATCTTAAATGTTGTTGTTGTTTTTCTAAATATACTTTGTGGTTTTATTTATCAACGTATTTTTATCTCGGGATGTTTAAACCATCAGAATCAATGTATGCCACAAATTTTTGGGCGCACAAGTTGATTTATACTTAACAGATCAAAACCGCCAGACCGTGAGTTAAATCATGGACCGAACCCTACTGTACATCAGTTTGTTCACAAATTAATCCTCAGTTTTTGAATCATCCTAGGACGAAAATCGGTGTTATTTATAGTTAACTACAATTAGGGAAGGGGCAGTTAAATCTGCAAATAAAGTTAAAGCATAGCATGCACGTTTTAAGGTTCGTTTGAAGCAGGTTACCTTCTGCGCCCGCTTTTCCCTTTTAGTATTAGGTGAGAGTGTTGTGCTAAAGAATAAATCTAATTTTGTATTAATTGTGCAAGTATATCGTCTTAAAATTCTCGCCACTTCAGTAATCAATTTTACTCATTGAACTTTGGGCCAGTTTTGCACACAAGACGTTAATAATGGTAGCCGGAACGCGTGAGTCTTTACGTAGCCGAAGCGCTTCTTAGAATGACATGATGTGTGAATGTCTTATATTAACGTCTGCAAAACACTGTTAGCTAAAGTTTTACAGATAAGAAGCCGGATCAGTTTAATGATAAGCACATGAATCCTTAGATTTGGAGAAATGTTTTGTGTCATTACACTGTCTTGCAACTGTGTTTATTATTCATTCAAAATATTTCCCAAATTCTGATTGGCCAAAAGCACACGCATAATTCACCATAACCAGTTACTGATGACAAAATTTCAAAGAATTTTGTGTTTAACGAGAAAATGACGTCAAAAATTAAATTACAAGTAATAATATCACTGGCGTTGTTACTAAGATCACTCTAAAATCCGAAATCAGCAATTTTTTGTTTGTTGAAGGTAGTTATTGTTTGTTCTCTTTGCGTCCAAAACGTGATATACTCAACTAGGATGATTTAGGAAGTAGAACCACTTACTGAATAGTCCTCAGTTTAATCGTAAGGATTGGAAACAGTTTGGTTGATAAAAGATTAAAGAAAACAACCCCTTTTTATAATCACCGTATGCTCATAGAATTGCATTTTGAAAAATAATCAGTCTACGCGGATTTTAAAATCAGATTTAAATGGTTATTTTATTAATCTAAACTGCTCTTATTGGCGGTTACAAGCGATGGAATAATGAAACTGTTTCATAAAAAGGCACAATGCCAGTCGTGCGATTAATTTTTTCAACACATTACCTGGTGCGCTGGGTGGTTTTTTAGGGGGAGCTGTGGGTGTAGTCCCTAGAAAGTAATAGCTGAGGTTGTTATCTGTTATCTTATGTTGTTATAAAAAAAAAATTATCTCATATCAGTCTATCTGATAAATTTCTTTAATTTTGAAAAAAAATGACGTTTTTCAGTATCAGCATGCCGTTTGAATAGTTCACTTTTGACCATTTAGTTACCTGAAACAGTAGGTGGTTTGGTTGTAGAAACTGGACCTGGTTTCTTTCCTGCATTAAAAAATAAGTATATGTGTCAAGATAAGCGTTCTCACTAAAGTACCAGCATGCATAGTTTTGCACACTTATGATCACGCTATTTTCTAGTAAACTGGGTTGTTTAGTTGTAGAAGTTGGGCCCGGTGTTTTCCCTGTAAACGTTGGAAAAAAGATGTATGTGACCCAGATACAATTTTTAAGATCATTTTGCCATTTGAAATGTCCTGTTTTATTTGGATATATTACAGTGACGTTTTTTAAGCCCCTGAGGAAGGCGTTTTGAAAGGAAATGGTGAAGAAGATATTTGGACGCGCAATCGAGTTCAAGTTATCTTTGACGTCATTGAATCTCTCGGCATATGTGTGTTCAAGATGAGGGTTTGATCAATTTTAATTAATTAACCAATATCTAATTAATTCAAGATTTTGTACAGTGTAGTGTAAGGATGTGATCAAAGTTTCGTTTTACCATATCCTAGTACTATAACTGATTTTCTGTCGTTTTGAAAAATCTGAAACAAACTTCAATTGAAATAAAAATCCCCAAAAACGATCACGTTAGCTGACGGAGCTCAACTCCCGACAGTGGTTTTCGGAGGCCTCTATTAATCTTTTTATTGTCTAATTTCTTGGAAAAGGGAAAGCGGAACAACATTTGAGTTCCCGTCGTTACATGTAAGTGGTGGCCCTACGCATGGTCACCGCTGAATATCCGCTTGCAGGCTAGTACCGGGTTCTACATATAATAAATTGTGTTTAATTATAACAGAAATAAAAGTTAACAGATAACTTTAGAATGCCTAGTTAACAGATTTACCCTTCTTAAAACAATCTTTGTTCATGCTTTCAAATAAACGAAAATTCAAAAATTGTGATTTTTTGAGAGTACATTAATTTAGAGTGTTTGTCAAACAGAAACCCAGAATACGAGTTGTATGGTCTCTTTTCTGGCGGATTACCTGGTGCGTTGGCTGGCCTCCTCGACGAAGGTGAGGGTGTTGTCCCTAGAAAGTACATAATGTCTGAAGCTATTTACCATATCATAGGCATAATCTAGCCAAAAATTTCGGAAAGTTCTACTGAGTAAGCTGATTGATATTTGCTTTAATCTGAGTTTGATCAGGTGTATTTAGGACGCGAATATTTTATCGTGCTTGTGAAATGGAGTGATCAGAAATGATCTGTTTCAAAATTTAATGAATATCATGTATTGACTAAACAGGAGTAAGTATCAAACGATTACGTGCAATTCTACTGTTTAATGATTCATAAACCCTGCCCAAGTTTGTATTTGGGTGTACAGATAAGAGGTAAGGTGTTTATGTGGATAGTCATGTGTACAGATTACTCGTGTTCATTCGGATGATGCAGTGAAGCTGTTAACCTAAGGTAGTTATATGTGATATGATTGTTCTCTTTTGATTTACCAAAGCGATGTGAAATATCAGGATGTATGCATTTTTTGTGTCACTGTTTTTGAACATGCCGTTACCTGACACACTTGGTTGTTGAGTTGCCGAGGATGGACCTCCTGTTTTCCCTTGATTATTGAGAAAAAAGTTTTATTGTTTCATGTTTGGTGTTGTTTTAAAAATATGTGCAGCTGTCTTTGAGTGTGACGCTCATAATTTTGTACCTGCATATTTCTATCATGTTCTTTCACATATCGCTTTCTTAGACAGAAGATAGTAAAGTTGCCGAAGATAAGGAAGGTTTGTTCCCTTAATTAAGTATGGCAACAATATGTGACATGATTTTTGTCCTTGTTCAAAATATCTTGTCAAATATCAGCATGCATTATTTGCTGTATTTTGAGCATGCTGTCACCTGATATACTAGGTTGTTGGGTTGTAGAGGATGAACTGGTAGTTTTTCTTAAGTGTGTAAGAAAGATTATCATGGACATGTTTTGTGTCATTTATTATAGCGATGTCAAACATCATCATGCATTATTTTGTCGACAAATGTGTTTTTGGGCATGCTGTTACCTGATACACTAGGTTGTTGAGTTGCAGCGGAAGGAGTGGTTGTTTTCCCTGAATTAGAAAGAAAACGAAATCAAACGTATATGTTGCATGGCTAGCGTAGTTTTGATAATTAGTGGCGTATAGATCAGACTGATTTGATGTTTGAGGAGAGGAAATACGATGTAAAGTTTAGCGATTTGATACTGTCAAATTTACTATTCAGAAATGGAATATGTTACCTGACACACTAGGTTGTTCAGTTGGTGCAGATGTAGCTGATGTTTTTCCTAAATTAAAATTTAAAGCGTGTGTGACATGTCTGCTATCGTTAAAATAATATTTAATTTGTAAGGAGGAACCATTAGAATAAGAACAACAATAATGATAATAATAATAATTAATAATAATAATGATGATGATGATGATGATAATAATTTCGTTAACTTTTAGGTAAGACAAGAATGTTTTTTTGCAGACTGTCGTAATAGAATGATAAATAAATAACTTAAAAGCGGAACTCCCGCGCGCGCGAAGCGCGCGTGGCGTAACCCCATTGCTAAGATTGATTGGTAACCTATCAAAGCAAGAAAATTTGGTTATGACGTAGTGTACGCCCGCCCGTCTGTACACACAAGTTCATGTAAGCCGAAAGTAAATGTCAGTTTATTCTGGCGGGAAAGCGTACGGCCACCCTCATCTTGTGAAGCAGAGACCACTACAGAGTCAATAAAGACGAAAACGGAAAGCGGAAAATTTTTCTGTATCCGTGTCGTCTTAAGGATTAAGCTTAGATTAATTGTCATGTCCACAAATTTGGAATACAGAGAAAGAGAAAGACAGAAAAAAAGAGAAAGTAGAGCGACACCCAGTGAAGCTGAACGAGAAAAAGAGCTAGAGCGAGAGAGAAAAAACAAAGGAGACCTTTTTCTGTTGTAGGAACAACATGGAATTTTGTAGCGGTGGTGAGAAAATGACAATTGCTGCGGTCACCGGGGTGAAAATGAGAGACAACGACATTTCCTCCATAAAACGTGTAAGCAGGAAGTTTCCGGAAGTTCCACGTTGTAGTCGGACAAAACGATGGCAAAGAAATGTACAAAAAAGGTGTGCTGCACGTGCAAAGTTGCTTTTTTGCCAATTAGGACCTATTCTTGTTTTTTTTTTACCGTTTTCGTTGCCATCGCCACTTAGCATTACACGATTTTATATTTTGTGTGAGGAAACTATAAATATTATAGAGATCTTCGCTTTTAGACCTGGCTAAATCTATATATTATAGTGTCATTTTATAACGGCCACGTAATGGTTCGAAATGTTTGGCCTCGGTAACCAATATCCTCAATTATTTAACTCGATTGTCTAAAAAACAGAATTTACAACAATAGATTTCAAATTAATAACAGTCTCAATTGGATTGTTATCATAAGAATTGTTTTTTCTTCTTTATTTTGGCCATTTCCTCAATTTTGCTTTTGGATTGGGATGGGTAATGTAAGATTAACAGCTCTGTTTCGAATAAAGAGTCAATATGACTTAAACCAACGATGAAACTAAACCGAAATGTATATAGAGAGAATAGTTTGAAACACTGAATAATTGGACGAAATAGAAAATCAGAGTTAACAGGTTTAATATTTTAAGTTGCTATTTTTAGCTACTGTAGTTACCTGGTGCTTTGGTTGGTCCCTTCGAAGCGGACGGTGCTGGTGTTGGGCCTGTAGCAAGTGTATGCTATTTATCAAGTAGTACATGCTATTTATCTAATAGTTTTTTATGTTTAGAACAATGGCAAGTTTTACCTTCTACAAATTACGATTAGTCGCGTTGTCGTTATTTGTGTATATATCGCACCTGAATTCCTAGTTTTTGGAAGCAATTAAAAGTATTTAGCTGTTTGTTAACCATCACAAAGCTGTCAGACAATGCTTTGAAGTTAATAAGCTATACAACCAATAAGATCTCATTATCAATTCAAATTAGAATTTGAACATGGAGTGTTAAATAAAATATTAGGAGAGTTCAATTTGTAATTTTTTAGATGAAGCATGCGGCTTTTACCTGATGATCCACTGGGTTGTTGAGTGGAAGAAGATGGAAGGGGTGATTTCCCTAAAAAGTAACACGGTGTTATTTTTTAAGTGGTATCCTTCGTATTGACCTTTTTTTTTTTAATCAGCATTCATTTATTATGTCCTACTTTTAAACGCATTGAATGGGTACTTTTTCTTAATTGAAGACGATAACTGTGCAATCCAAGACATGCTAAGTGACGATGTGACTCGTTTTGTGATGTTGTACCCCTGTTATTCTCCTAACTGATATGATTACCACTTTCATGAGTATTAATTGATTAATTTTAAAACTTATTTATTTAAATTTCATTTCTTGTTCTATGGAAATTGTTACAAATAGAATTAAACGGATTTTTATTTTGATCGAACTAAATCCGACTGAGTTGAGCAGGGCAGTAGGTTTTGGACGTCGTGCTATGGCAGTACCAAACTCAATTCATAAATCAAAAAATATGTCCAGATAAGATGGCTCAACTGCCTTTGCTTT